TGCGCAGGCTGGGCCAGGCCCCACCTTGGGTGCCACTGGGCCCCTGCCTATCCACCCGCCACAGCCTGAGTCTGCAGAAAGCCAGGGCAGCCCACACTTCCTGCCCAGCCCCGCTCTCCTCCAGCTGCTGCCTTTCCAAGGGCCCAGCTAGGCCAGCGTGCCCAGAGCAGCTCCCCCAGCACATGCTGATCCCTGTCACTCAAACTCTGCCCCAGACATCTAACCCTGGTGCTCAGTGCCCTGGTGCTGCCCCCACCTGGGTGGGGCAGGGTATCTGTCTGCCCAAGCCGCAACCCAGCTCTCCCTCCCAGCCCTGGGCCTGGGCTCCCCCCACTCCAGAATCATCAAGGAGGCCTGAGTGCTCTGACCCTGGTGGTTGCTGCTTGCTGCTGAGGTGTTGCTACCTCCCTCTGTTGGACACTTCCCTGGACCAGCAGGCAGGAGCCACAACCAGTAGCAGTGGAAACCGTGAGCAGCAAGAAACCCCCTCTTTCTCTTTTTCCTTCTCTTCTCTCTCTCTTCCCCCGTCTTTTTTTGTCTCCTCTTTTTTCCCTTCTCTTTTCTTTTTTCCTTTCTCTTATTTTTTCTCCTTTTGCTTTTTCCTCACCTCTTTTTTTTTTTTTCCTGTCGTCTTTTTTCTCTATGTGCTCTCCTTTTTTTTCTATCTCCCATCACAACATACTTATCAAAAAAAGAATTCACAAGAACAGAGATAGTATATGAAGTTTTATATATTGTCACCAGGTTCAGAATTTTTAGAAAACCTGGTATTTACTGAAAAAAAGCAACATTTATTATTATTAACTAATTAATATGCAGTGCATCCTGCCATGTACCCCCTGCCCCAGCTTTGTTTTTCTGGTATGCCGGCACTGCGACACCTTATAGAGTAGACATTGCAGGGTTTTTGGCAGTCCAGCCAAAATCATTGCCTTACCACTCGTATAAATTGACAGGGAGGCTGCCCATAGAGGGCAAAAAGGATTTTGGATAGTGAGCCCTTGTCTGGGTTAAGGTCTCCCTGGCCTTGTCCCACTTTACTCTGGATAAAGTGTTCAACCTAGGTTCACTGTCGCAGGTCCACAAGCTCCCACGCCCCAGCTCTATCCACACCCTGTTGGATCTCTGCCCCCTGGCCCCTGCTTTAGCCTTTGTGGGCACTGGTCTACTCAGCCCCCGGTCTTGCCCTCACGAGTTCTGGGATTGCATCCCAGTCTTTGCTGTGCCTCACCCTGGTGGACCTGGGTTGCTCTTCCCCTGGTCTTGCCCTCTGTAGGCAGTGGCCTTGTGCCCCCCGTCTCTGCAGTCCAACACCAGAACCATTCTGCCAACAACGCTTAGGATTTAGGGTGTCCCTGGGTGCCTGTGTAAGAGCCCTCCTCTGTCCGTACAGACACAATTTGGTGTTTGCGGCAGCAGCAGTGATCCCTCATGGGCAAGGATGCGCACTCCCATGGGTCAAGTTAAGGGTTGTGGATGAGTCTGATGGCTAAGGTGACCAATCCTAGAGCCACAGACTCTGGAAAACGCAACAGGTGGTGGTTGAAGGAAGGTTTGGACAATGGATTTCTCAGTCTTGTTTCCTGTTCTCTGTTTCTATTTTTTTTTTTCCTGTCTCCAGGGAAAGATAGCTTTCCTCAAAGTAAGATGTACCTTCTCTCACAAGGTGTCACCATGTAGCCCTGTTCTAGGCTAGTTTTTCCTCATTTGTCATATCAATACCACACTTAATGTTTGTCTTGAGGGTGTCCTTGAAGTGTTTCCTCTGGGCCGCACATGTCCTTTGTCCTTGGCTGAGGTGGGAGTATAACAGTTGTTACAATAAACGTACATCAGACATGCACACCCACTGCCCCGTCCACCGCAGCTGATGTTGAATAATCAGTGTTTCCATATTGGTGGTGTCAGTGTTGGTGAGGATACTGGCAATTGTGTGACAATCTTCCCACTTAGTGCAAAGGCTCTTCCAGAAATAGTGCTGGTGATGGCATTCCAGACTTTTCAGGTGGTCCCTGTAGGTCACCCAAGCTTTACAGCCATAGAAAAGAATTGGTATCATCACAGCCTTATACTGTAGGAGCTTTGTATCCAGAGGTCTGAAGGCATTTGCTGTTGTACCCTCTGTGGACTGATTGGGTTGCTTTGATGCGTTAGCAGAACTCGACATGATAATCTCACTGAGCAATGATCGGTCCACTGCTTCTCTCATCGATCATCAGCATCTCTCATAACATGCCTGATATGAATGCAAGATCACACGCTTTTACAATGACGTAGTGGAGGAGGTGCCATTTGTTTTGAGCAGTGATGTTTGCACGTTGTTTTGTACCTGTCACATTGTCTGAAGATAGTTTTAGTAATGACAGAGTCATGCTCTGCACATTTAATGAGTAAGAGCATGCCACTGGAATTAGCCTTGCCCAGTCTCCCTAGTGGTGCCCCTCCACACGTTAAAATTCCAGCCAACTCTCGCATTGAAATCTCTAAGGAGGATTATCTTGTCCTCTTTTGGGATGGTAGTCAGGATTTCATCAAGGTCAGCATGAAACTGTTCTTTCTGTTCTTCTGAGTGTTGGGGCATGTGTACTGCTGATGGTAGCAAAGTTGTTGGTCGAGCTGGAGGCAGAGAGTCATGAGGACTCGTTAATACCAATGGGGAATTCAGTCATTTAGCTGACAATCTGGTTCTTAATGCTGAAAGTAAGGCCATGTATTGCCCTGTCATTTACAGGTTTCCCTTTCCAGAAAAACATAGTCATCCCCCTCTTCTCTCAGATGGCTTTTGGCTGCACATCTAGTCTCAGTGAGAGCAGTGATATCTATGTTGAATCACAGGACTTCCTGGGCAATGAGATGTTCTGTGTTCACGTCTATCACTGTTCGGGTTGTCTAGTAGGATTTGTACGTTCCAAGATACAAAAGACTTTTTGACCACAGCTTGAATGATTCTGGAAGTGGCTATCCAGTCAGGTAAGATGAGACAGTGTACATTTGGGGCATCGCTTCTAGCCTCCAAACATGCAATAACCTATGCTCGTGGTAATCCATCTGAGTAAGATCCATGCTGACGGGCATACATTCATGAGGGGCAAATTTCCCAACCCATAAGGAGCCCTGCAAGCCCATGTTGATTGAGGGGAAAAGCCTGTCTTATATTTCAGTAAATATTACTCATATATATATGTATCCCTTGGAGTATCTAATTTGGCAGGAGTTTTTCACTTTATCCCTACACTTCAAATGTCTCAGCTGTAGTTTTCTCTGGTTATTACGCCTTTTATTTCTATTCTGTTTTGTTGTAGGCACTTTCCTTATTTCTAATTCCCATCTTGAGAGTGGCTTTTCATCCAGTTAGTTCTGAATTTTTTCCTACAGGTTTGCCCCTTTCTTGACTGATGTAGTATTAGCACTTGACTTAAAGACATTTCATACTCCTGCATTAAAATCTTTGAACTTGTTAATTCAGTTGATTTCACTAAGTAGATTACTCAGCATATGCCGTTTTTAAGATTGAGAACCTTAGTTACAGGCCTACCTGAATTTATCCTTGTATCCTTCATTGAATCAACTTGACTCTAGATCCAAGGCTATTTTCCATGGGCTGCTCTTTCTTAAATCCTTGCCATTCATTAAATATCATTCTCCAGTTCATTGCTAATTTGTATACAGTGTTATCTGCAACAAATGTCTAGCAAAACTTTATGGGTCTAACTGTGCAATTTGGGAGAGACAGAAGAATGGTCTGATGGCTAAGGCATTGGACTGGGCCTTGGGAGAAATGCTTTTAATTCTTTGCTGTGCTTTAGGTATCCTGTGTGCCCTTGGGTAATTAATCCCTCTTCTTCAGTTCACTATCAGTAAAAGGCAGTAATAAATTCCTTTGCCAAAAATTAGTGAAATCTCTGAGTTGTGATATGAATGGACCAGTTCACTGAGTAGCTAAAAGTGAGGCATGCCTATTTAAATACCCATATAGCAGCATATTAACACAGCCATACCAGAAAACCTCTGTAAGTGTAAACTGATAGCTCTTCTTGTGCTTTTGAAGAGGCAAACTTAATTTAACAAAACAAAAAAGTAACACTAGTGTTCGTTAAACATGTTTCTGGATGATTTACTGACTCTCACACAAAGTAAGAAGTCTTCTGGGTTATATTTTTTTATTGGACCAACTGTGTTGTTTGTATAGAAACAGGCAAGCTTTCTGATATTGCATCCCCCTTCCTCAGGCCTCTTGTTTCTTGTAATCGCTCTCAGTGAATCAAAATGGTATCAGCTAACCAATCTGACCACATACAGCTTAACAGTGGTGCTCAACCTTTTTGTCCAGTGGGCTTGGTGGACATTCTTTAGTCCATCTGCAGCCCAGACCAAGCCAGTAGTCCCAATCCAGTGTCCTGGATGGGTGCAGCAGAGTCCCATCCAGCTGTATGGAGAAGGGGTGGAGGGCAGCCTGGCCCTGATCCAGCCACATGGAATACAGGGGTCTCAGCTGCGTGGTGAGAAGGGGGCCCAGCCCAGACCCAACCCATTATGCAGGACTTGGGAATTTGGCAGCAGGAGAGGGTGGTGGTATCACTTGTCACTGGTCCCCCACCACCAAATTTCTCAACCCCTAGGGAGCCCTGCAAGCCAGATACCATGGCTCTGCAGGTCACGTTTGGCCTGTGGGTTGGAGGTTGAGTAGCATGGGGCTGAATTAGTAAGTCAAGAAGCCAAAACTAATATTGTGTAAGTTATCTGGAAAATTTCAAAAAGTGTTTAAAAATAATGTGAAACTATTTTTGAACCATTCTCTTTAAAAGTCTCAAATACTTCAAGATTTATATTCACTTCATGAAAGTGATACTTGAAAACAGGCATGTGGAGGAGCAGAAATTGTTGTTATGAATACTTTTTTTTCCAGTTTTGTTTTTTTTTCTTAGTTGTTTACGTTACTAGAAAAATGTTGAAATGCGTGTTTTTATAATACAAATATTTTCCCCTCCTCCATTCAACAGGGAGATGCAGTAAAAGACTTACTGCTCCGCTTTCTTGGGGAACAGGCTGCAGAGAAGAGACAAGTTTTAAATGCCAACTCTGTAGAACAGTCATTTGTAGGCTTGAAACAGCTAATTGTAAGTAAGAATGCATTTAATTTTCATAATTCATTTATATGAAATGCAGTGTTCCTCTCTAAATACTTCAGAGCTAATGATTGTATAATGAAATAAAAAAGTGTGTGCATTTGTTCTTGGTCTTTCTAAAAATGGAAGCCAAAGTATTGAAGCCCTGATGGGAGGAGCAATCTTGGGTTTTAAAAGGAAGAATAAGCTATAATGATAGAAAATTAGAGTTGGAAGGGATCTCAGGAGGTCATCTAGTCCAGCCTCCTGCTCAAAGCAGGACCCAATATATATATATATATATATATATATATATATATATATATATCATGTACAAGCTAGAATCAAGATTTCATGAATCAAGGGTCTACAACCTTTTAGATTGGCAGGCCCAAGTAATACAGCTCGGTGAAAAGGTGAGCTCCTGCTTGTGATCCAGCCACCACCACCACCTAATTAATTGCTGCTGCAGCCAGTTCTACCCACCATTGAATTGCTGGCAACGTCCTGGCTTCACAGTCCAGAAAAGTAGCTTGACATCCCAGATCTGGCCTACATACCATAGGATGCCAACCTTTCGTTTAGGTTCATGGCAGAGTGCATTTCATTTGTTGTTATTTAAAGAAAAAAAGTTTTCAGAATACATCTCTGTGACTGATTCTTATTTAAAGACATGATCTTAAGTTTTTGCTTAACAGTTGTATTTTATTAATGGCCTGTGGCTTTCTTAATCAGACCAAAGCAGGGCTGTGGCTAATTCAGATCCTGATTTTGAAATTTTTAGGGGAATATAATAAATAAATCACAGCTAATAAGAAATAAAACTATAGAACTATAAGGGATGGATGAGCTGTCAAACAACAATAATTTAAAAAAAATAAGTTGAAGTTATCTGAACCTCCTTTAGAAAGATATTTAGCCAAGTATTTAAACATTATTGAGAAGAAAGTTATACCCTTAGAGGTTAGAAAAATTCTTCAGCAGCCTTGGTCAGCCCTCGTGAATTCATTTAGAAAAGAGCTGATTGATGTTTCAGCTTCCTAAAGACACTCTGTGGAGCACAAAGGAAGATTTCCGGTCCATGTTACGGGACCAGTGTTTCAGAGGCAGCAGTGACGACCCTAGCGGTCACTCAGCTCCTGTCTTGCTCTGGCCTTTGGTACTCTCACTCCACTCTCACCTGCCACATCTTGATGTTCTTAGTAAAGCTTGGAAAGGGAGGTAGCCTCAGGGCCCTAGAGCAAACTCTATGCCAGCCTTCCTATTAGACTCACTACAGTCTTCTCGTTTAGTTGGCCTTCCTGGCCCATACATGTGCCCCAGGACACCTTTTTGCCTTATGTGCTCATCACGACCTGTGAACTTCCCTTACAGCCATGCCCATGCTTCACAGATGTTTCCAATCATCACTTAGTTGGACGTTTTGACCCAAACTGCTGGGCTGCTTCTCACCTCCTCACCCTTGTTGGGGCCTTCTCAGACAGCGTCTCAACTTTTAATTTTTTTTCCATCCCCCTGCTGCTTTGGCTGGTCTGTTTGGCCTAGACCCACCGCATCAGGTCTTCTTGGGCTCCAGCCCTTATCTTGCCCTCCTAGACTCTTATTTTTGCCCCTTTTATAGGCTGTCGGTGCCGGGGCCCGAAACTCCACCCCGTCTGAGCTGCAGGCTTGCTAGCCCTGTTTCTACCCCTCATGGGCTACAGGTCATCGACCCTTGCTTTGCCCATCCCAGGCTCTTACCTCTACCCTTCCCAGGCTGTGAGTCTCTGGCCCCAGTCACTGCACTGCCCCTCTCTGGACTGTGAGATCTCTAGCCCTGTCTCTGCCCCTCTAGGGCTGCAGGCTTGCTGACCTTATTCCTCCCCCCCATTGTAATCAAGCCTCTGCCCTCTGGCAGGGCTCAAGAGAGCTGTGTACCCCTAAGGCGCCTTTTCTTTTGGAGCCAGCCCTTCTTCGGCTGCTTGAGCACTGACTGCTACTGGTTTGTTTGGGGTTTTTTTCTCTCAGAGTAACAGGAGCCTTATGCTTCCTGTTAGAGTCCATTTTTGACGACCCCGCATAAGTGTGTCAGCGTATTCACCAGACACAAGGAAAACTGCTCAGAACAAAATGCCATGCATAATGGAGAGTCTGAGATAGCAAATTTGCAAAAAGAGTGGGGCTTGGCAAATTATGGGTCCACCTTCAGTCATGCTCGCATCTATTTCAGGACTCTCGATGTAATGTTGACCAGAGTATCTATCCCAATACTGAAAATGCATGTCTCCTTTTTTCACTTTGTCTTTGTCACCTGTAAATAGTTACATCTAGAAGCTAACAGTTCCTTGCTTCGTTTCCCCACCTGCCTTTCTTATATCACACCCATTGTTAGGGCAATGCCTCATTGAAGTGAACATGCTGTTATTTGTCTGTCCATTCCCCAGAGAGGGCTTTCCAAAAATTATAAATAAAAAAGAAATGCCAAAGTTGAAAAATTTGTTTCACTCAATGCAAAGTACTTAGTTTATATTGTTACCCTACCATAAAATTGTCTATAGTGAGAGAGAAGTTTTACAAGAGTGGCTCCAAAATTCAAAAAAATAAGACTAAACCTCGTCATAGTAAAGGAGTCTCAAGGAAACTTTAAAGCTGTAAAAACAAGAGAGGTCTGGAAAACATTTTCACCTTCTCCTAAATGTTCTATTTACTCCATCCTGATTATTTGCAGGGGGATGGAGCAGTAGCCAGATTTGTGGTACTAACTGTAATCAAATTATCAAGCTTTTTACTTCATTTGAGATTGGTCAGCTTTGATTTATTTTCCCTGCTGTGCTAAGTGAATTTGCAACAGAAACCTAAAGATGAAATCATCTGAGGAATCCTTGTATTCCACTATTTGAATTTTTGCTTTAAAATTGGTACTAAATTAGGACCATGGAGCTAGTACAGGAGAAAGTTGCGCTATCAAGCAATTTTTGCAACAGCTCAGAGCTGTAAGGACTACAGAATTACTAAAGCTATCCCAAAACTATTTCTTAAAATCTGTATGCTTCTTATAGTGATAATTTGTAAATAAAGTTACCAGTCTGTGAAGGCTAATAAGCATTTGTGAGACAACTGAAATCTGAAAGTTGAGTATTCAGTTGTCAAAATATTGTTATTATTTTAGTATAGGGCCATGCAATTGCCTCCGTTGTAAATAAAAGTAAATAATAGCCTGTCTATGCAACTTTTTACTTTATTTTATGGTAATAAGTAAAAATTTATGCTTTAGACAATATAAACAATAATTATGTTAGTCACAGGCATGGCATAGATTGCTTTACCTTATTTTGAATAAATATTGCAGTATGTTTTACAACATGCATACCTGATGATCTTGCAGCATAATATTTGCAGTTTTATGGTAATTACTACATTTTTGATAACTGCCATGCTTGAGCATGATTATTGTATCTAGTCCTTTTAGTAAGCAATAATTCTATATTCAGTTAGGCTTGAAAAGGGTTAATAACTGCATATTCCAGAATAATGTTAAAGTGTTATGCTATGGTAATTTACACAGGAACAGAATGTTGTAGCTAGTGGAAGAGGACATTTTAATCACTTTAATGGTGTCTCATGTAGAGTTAATGACTCCCCTTGAGTTTGTTTGAAAAAAAAAAATTGTATACTGTTACATATGCATATGGTTAATATTGTGCTCTTACATATGTTGTCAAATATAATAATCTTAGATTACAGTTGTATGCCATAAATAATTACTTTAATTCAGAATTTTTTACTACTTTAAAATTATTTCAGTTTTCTAAATTTGTTTAATTGTTTAAACTATTAAGAAATATTAAGTGCTATTAACTATTAAGCACTTTCCCAGCTGATCCTAGAGAAGATTGGAGGACCCAAGTGACAGAAAAAATATGTGAATATATGCACTCCCAAAATAATACAAGCAGTCCTCGGACTTGCAATTCAATTGGTTCCTGAAAACCGCCTCTTAAGTTGAAACGTTGTAACTCGGAACCAATTTTCCCATAGGAACAATGTTATAAATGGGGGATTGGTTCCTGAACCAAGACCCAATACCTTATTTTCACCAAAAGTAACCCAGAATTTTGTACTCAATCAATTGTAGATGAGTAATATAGCCACATTAATGTATTTATATTGTAAATAGCAATCCATTTTGATTTGGTAGCAGTCATAGTGATAAGGACTTCTTTGAGGTGACTGTGCTGGACTTTTTGAAGGGTTCTTGGCTGGAGTCTTCTCAGGAGTCTTGGCTGCAGGTTTTTCTGGAGTCTTGTCTGCTTTCTTAAAGGAAGTGTCCAAGGAAGTTTGGACAGGTGTTCTCCAGGGAGATGGGCAACGTAGCGAACTTGTTCACTGATATGGCATCACGTCAGAATAAAGCATAGTAAAGTCGAAATTGAGGTCAAAGTCAAAATAGGGTGTCAGTTTATAAACGTCCTAAGTGCCATTTGTTGCAACCCAAAACGTCTTAAGTCGAGGACTTCCTGTACATGCATCTGGTTTTATCTGATAGACATTTGCGTGGCCTGGCCCTTGCCTGAAATCATTGGATGTCCCTGGAATTCATTTTTACTCTCCCAGTAAATTAACATAAATTGTCTTTGTATTGTTGGGTGAATTTGGTTTGCATTAACTTCAAGCATCTTTATATTTTTCTGTGAGTGTCCATTCTGGTAGGTAGCTGCTGTTTAGTTGCACCCAGGTAATTGCCATGAGGGCACTTAGTTCATCAGATCAGGTGTATCACATTTTGGGAAAGGCATGTATAAGAATCATAGTTTCTGATGGGTTTTTGTGGGAGGTGTTGATAGTAGTAGCAGTGGAGATGTGCTGACAGGTTAATCATTTCTTGCCAAGGCAGGGATGTGTACTGCTTGGTGTTTCATGGGTAATAGAGAGTTTGCTTCTAATGATGGGTTGGACAAGGTTAGGGGCTGTTTGAAAACCAGGAGTTAAGGGTCTGGGAATATTTTTCTTGGGGTCTGATCTTTGTCAGGTATCACCCATAGTTGGTTGGTGATTCTGATCAGTTCAAGTGTGGGATAGTAGATGACCACCAAGGAGTTTTCTTTTTGTATTGTAGTAGGTTACTGCAGGATATTTGGAAGCTCTTTCAGTTGTACAGTCTATTTCTCTACTGAAGCATCCTTGCTGTTAGCACTAGAGAGACTGGTAAATGGAAAATTCAAAAGTTACCTTTTGTTTAAAAATCTACAATTACATATTTTAATATTATTTTATACATATTAAACTTTTTTCTCATCCCTCATTCTTAACGATTGTCTCCAGCTTGTTCAGTTAATTCAACAATATTATTGAATGAACTTCATTTTTTTAATCCTACGCTATTAAAATCAGTGGGAATAGAGTTAGGACCTACCTACTTCATAATATTAGAGTTCTTTGGGTAAAATCCTTCTTTTGAAATGGCAAAAAATGTTGAGTATTATTAGTGGATTAGGAAATATGATGGATGCTTTTAATGGAAAACCCCTGGGATGCTGTGTATACTTTTGTTTTTGTGAACTTGTAATCTTAAACTGTATCTCATGCTTGACTTCGCTTTTTGCCTAATTACACATGCAGCTTTGACAAATGACATTCTACTTCTTACTGGCCAGCTTTTCTGACCTTGTCATTATTACTAATGGCTAGATGTAGCTGCTTCAAGCAAAATAAGCAGCTGTGCATTTTAGTAGCTTCATTTTATTTGTAACTTATTCCATTCTTTTTCACAGAACAGCAAAAACTGGAGGGCAGCTGTTGACCTATGTGGACGACTTCTTACTGCCCATGGCCAAGGGTATGGCAAAAATGGACTGCCTACTAATCATACAACAGATTCTTTGCAGGTACAATCACTTTGCATTCAGACATGGTGTTTAAGGTCCCATTCTTCCAAGAATATCAGTCAGGGAAGACACCTGCTCATGATCAGATCCAATCTCAAGATCACTGTATAAAAGATACTATGGTGGAATATGGGGTGACAACACATTTACTGTCTAGTAAATTACTCTGCATTTGCTCTGTAATAAAGTTAAGATAGCATCTTGGACACTAACTCATTCAGAAAGGCATAAGCATTCACAGGAAAAAGCTTACTTCATCTGATTGATGTTAGGAATGGACTAGTAGTCCACAGTAGGCTGTCAGTAGGGGTGCACCAATAATCTTTTGGACAGATACGGATGGCTGATTATTAACGAGCTGTATTGGCCGATACCGATCCAGTTGCTGATATGAAGTGCATCAGGTAGGAGAGCAGGGTCCAGCTGGTAAATCTGTTTGAGGGGGGGAATGGATTGAAGCCCCTGCAGTGAGGGAGGGAGGCTGGGGCAGGGACAGGCACGGGCACTGCCCAGCCAGGGTGAAATGAGGGATGGAGCCACAAGTGGCTCATCTGGGGGAGGTGGGGGTGGATCCTGCCGCTGTGTGCACCCCTGAGGAAGCCATGGGGGACATGTGCCCCCAAGATCTATGCATGGGGTGAAGGCAAGCTACCATTGCAGGATGGGGCTGGGGGCAGTGTTAGGCTCTTCCCGACAGGGGTTTGGGCCAAGGCTGTGCTCGGGGCAGGCAGCAATGGCAACCCACCCTCACCCCATACACAGATCGGGGTGGGGAGGAACGCCTCCCCATGGCTCTCCTGGGGGTGCACTTAGCAGTGCGATTAGCTTCTCCCCCTCCCCCCTGGACAAACCGCTTGCGGCTTCTTCCCACATGCTGCCCTGGCTGGGCAGCCCCACTCCCTTCCTCACCACAGGGGCCTTGATCTGCTCCCTCCCTCCTGCCCCCATCTCCTTCCCACCCAGCAGACTTACTGGCTATGTGCATGCTTCAGGTGTGCACAAGCATGCGGCATTTATCAGCAACATTATTGGCCACATCAGCCAAAAAAAGCCAATTGCCAATAATGTCAATTTTCCTTTTATCAATTTTCCTTTTTACAATACAGACAGATGTATCAGTGCACTCCTAGCTATCAGCTATGAAAGCTTATGCCTTTCTGAATGAATTAGCCTGCTGTACCCTGCCTTTTGCCTAACTTCAGACTAATGTGGCTAACTGTCTTTCATTACACAGTGGTAAATGAAGCAAACACATGAATCTCAGGCTTATAACCTCTTAGATCAGGGGTGCTCAACCCCCAACCCACAGGTCATACGTGGCCCACAGAGCCATGGCATCTGGCCCCTGTGGCTTTCCACAAGTTGGGAAATTTGGTGGCAAAAGAGGGACCAGGCCACATGTACTCTATCCCCCCACAGCACTCCTAGGTCAGGGCTGCGTCAAGCCCACACACTCAGCCAGGTCCGCCAGGCTTCCATCCTCCCCCCTTGCATGTCTAGATCAGGCCCCACTATCCCACTCCCTGGATCTGGCCCACAGATAGACTGGGCTCTGTCCATCTGGCCTGTGGGCCAAATGGTTGGGCACCACTGTAGTAGCTCACTCCAACACAGGGAAAAGATACCTGTTGAAAAATGTATAATAATTTAAATTCATAGGCAAGTTACTCTATTTAATATGTAATGTATCCTCTCTCCAAAACCAAGAGTCTGTAGCTTTTTGCTGGTCCAGGCCAGACCTTGTGACCTGGCCATGGTTGCAGGCTGGAAGCCTCCAACTGATCTCTTCCCCACTGACCCCAGCAGCATCTTCTTGCACTCAGTGTGCTCCAGTACATCTGCACTTTCCTTTCTCCAGCAAAGGAAGCACAGGGGTGATGAAGCACCAGGCTCCTCAGCATAGAGTAGTGCTACAGAGGGGATGAGCAGCATGGCACAACTCCATGCACCAATCCACTGTGATGGATTGGATCTCTTTGTGGACCAAATCCAGTGCATAGGCTGTAGGTTGGTCATCCCTATCCTAGAGTAGTCAGTTTTTTACCACAAATCAGCTCCCATTCCACCTGCTAACCAGGGCTATAAATTTAACAAATGAGTACAATTCAGGGTACGTGACTCAGTAGAAATCATACTGTGTATTTCAGAATAGTAGGGCTGAAAGGGACCTCCCACAGTCATCTAGTCCAACCTGCATCATAGTGATATCTTAGTGACATACTTTCTCCCATTCCATTACATAAAAGTAAATTTTACTTTTAAAATGCCACTTGATGTTATGGTTTTATATATTTTGAGCTGGCTTTAAGGCCCAGTGCTTCCCAGCTGACCTAAATATAATTTTCCTCAATTTTACTGTTTTAATTGTTTTTTAAAATTGCTCCAATGACAAGCCTGTGACTTTAATTACTTATTTTCATGAATGAGTCTTAAGACTAACTATTTAATTATTTCAGGCATAGTAGATTAAAAACCTAAAAGTAATTTTTTTAAAAACTGTTACATGACCTGATGTTTTTCTGTGCTTTGCCTTTTTAGCTGTGGTTTGTGAGACTGGCACTGTTGGTGAAGTTAAATCTCTTCCAAAATGCAGAAATGGAGTTTGAACCATTTGGAAACCTAGACCAACCTGATCTCTACTATGAGTATTATCCTCATGTATACCCTGGTCGAAAAGGTAAGGCAGTTGACTTATATAATACTCCTTATCTCTGCCATGAATGTCTAAAAAAAGAAAAATCTGGTTCTCTTATTTGCTGAAGAAATTTCCTGTGTTCAGGTAATGGACCCAAATTATCATCCATTATTTAAATGGAGTAAGCTTTTAGCTGTTTCCTAGAAAAAAATTAATACATGCCTTTCCCAACATGCTCCTACATTGCTTGTATTACAGAAAAAGGATAACAAGATTCTTAATATATTAGACAGGTGGTACTGTACATGTAATCCACTACAGTAATATAGCATTAGTTCAAGAGATATAGCAGTATGTGCAGTTCTCACAGGAAATGGGTGGCTTATCATTGACAGCCATGCACAATAAGGAAAGAAATATGTGGAATAGAAGATATTGCCTCTTTTTTGCCTTTCTTTCCTAGACCCATTCACTAAGTTATCAAAAGGCTAAACTTGCAGGAGAAGTAAACGTTGTACATGAGTAAGGGAATAGGTGGTAAAGAAAGATTAAAAGGGGGAGGAAAAAATAAAGTTTGCACTAAGTATAATGCTGCTGCCATAATGCTTCAATATAACAAAATGTTAACTGGAAAGAAAGCAAAAGTATAATGCCAAATACAACATGCAGTAAATTACAACCTTCTTTTGTTCGATTAAATCAAGGGTGCTTGGCTTGCAGGCCAGATCTAGCCCACAGAGCCATGTCAGCCGTCCCACAGGCTCTCCACGGGTTTGAAATATTGGCAGGTGGGGAGCGGGCCATGTTAATTGCTGCTGGATTGCCTAATGTCAGACCCATGAGAAGCCCCCATGGACCAGATAGTATGGCCCTGCACACTGCATCAGGCACACAGTCTAATCTGGACATAATCCAGGCTCAGAGGGCCAGGTCAAGATGGCACAAGTGTATGAGGTGGGTCTGATCTGGGTGTATGAGGCCCAACCTGCCGTGCACACCCCCATGTGGGATCTGGTCCACAGACCAGCCCCATGCCACTCATCTGGTCAAAGGGCCAAAATCTTGAGCATCACTATGCTAAATGTATCATAGTGTTCCAAAGCAGTTTGTCACTGATTAAAGCAAAATAGTATATGAATAAAAAACCCTTAAATTAATCTTTAAACTAATTGAGAATAGGAGATTTACATTTTGAAATTTTTTTAAATTAGTACCATGTTTACTCAAATAAAAGATGAGTTGTTTTTCCAATCAGCATGGGGGGTGAAGTCCCTCATCTTTCTTTTCCATACAAGGAAACCTCATTAAATACATTGCCTCATTAAACTGCTGCCAAAAACAGCATGTGCTCAGTAATGGAAATCAACTATGAAGTTGACTAAATGAGCATTACTATAACACCCTGTGTTGTCACCATTCCACATGCGACAACTGCCACGACCCCCACTCTGTGTGCGGCTGCCACTGCCACTCCCCCTGCCCCCACCCCCTTCCTCTGCTCCATGTCCGGCCGAAAACCCCTGCCTCAGGTAATCGGTAGTTTTGGATTGCTGACACCCCCTATTCCCCATTTGTGCCTGATAACAGAGCTTTTACTGTACAGTGTATGGCAGTGTCCATTAAGCACAGTGCTCCTCAGTGCCAACTCCTTCAAGTCAGTGAGCCACCACATTGCATACATTTATACTGAACTGTATCTTTTTTTCCCATTGCCAATGATTTCTGTTTCTTCAGCAGCCTGGCAGACATCGCCAAATGTGGCCCCATACAGTTCACTCAGGGCTGTTGCCCCTCTCTCAGCTTGTCGCATATGATTAATGTGGCTCCAGCTTATGAGGTGAACCCAGACAGGTGCCCTGTGCCTCTTCTGCATATACATTTTTGAAGGATCCCAGGACTTGTGACAAGAACACCCAGTTCCAGTCATGAGTAGGAGACTAATTAGCACATGGATCCTTTGTGAAGGGTGTGTGGAACACACATCCATACTGAGCAGTGCTGAGCTGTGGGGTCACCATGGCTTTAAATGCTGTCAACTGCTGGTTGGTTGGGGTCAGCCAAATGAAGTATATGGTAAATCATGACCTTTTTGGCTTTATACTAATATCATGCACGGTTTCTACTATATATTAGTAGATGCAAAAGTGTTTCTTATGGAGTATCTATGCTAAAACTTGCAGCAGTTTAAAAATAAACATGCACCAATTCTAGATTAACTAAGTCTGTTGGGTACTGTATGCAAATTACTACAGCTATGTTTAATTACAAGGTCACTGTTTTCAAATTTTCTTCTCCCTTGCATGTGCTTAGGGAGAGCAGGGTCTAACAATAAGGAGAGGGGGGAAAGGGCTGCAGGGAGAAGCAGCAGAGGTGGAGCAGAGGGCAAGGGAGATACCTGATTTCCCCCCCCCCCCCTTCCAAGGGGGGGGGGATGGAATTCAAGGCAAACCTCCAATAATTATTTTCTGTACCTGGAAAATTATAACAAATGTATCCTTTTTCCATGTATAAAATCTAATTATTGGGAAGGTCATCTATTTTTCTTTTAACTACAATCTTTCAATGTGATTTTTAACAGAAGAGGTGGTGTGTGTGATGCTTTTTTATCTTAAAAATATAATCCATTTAATTAAGAAAGGGGTTTTTATAGCGTGTGTCAGTGTATATATAAGGGTTTCCAGCCACTGGAGAGTTTCCAGCACTTTACAATGTATGGATAGCCTATTTTATAGACTGGGCAAATATTATACGGACTCTTTCTGTGATTGGATGTAAAATGTTACCCAGTATTTCTGTAGTCCCTCTGAATGTGAGATTTGAAATATCTTTCTTGGAAGCAACACTGGATTTCATACAACTGACAAAGTTATTTGAGGTAGAAGATAGGAGCTCTAGACAACCATTCTATTTCAGGATTACATATTTGAAGGATTACATATTTGACTGTAAAATGAAGATCTCGAAGCATAGAGATTTTGACTTTGTGGCCCACTTCTTATTTAACAGCCAGGCATACCAACATGCTATTTGATCAACTAAGAGAAATCAAATCAAGATTCAGTGCAGCTGACCTGTTTCTTATGAGCTATAATGTGAGTACTAGATAAAGGTTTGGGAAGCCCTAGGCAGGCAAGGTTCTTTAGGTAGATCTGGTATCTTTTAGATCAACTGAGTACTTGGAAAAAAGTTATTTGAAAGCTTTTTGGCACAATCACCCTTCTTCAGGCATAGGGAGTGTCTGCCTAGCAAACCTTCATTACTAAGGTTAGAGGAAGGAGCTATAGTATCATCCAGAATATATGAGATGAAGTAATTCTGATTCCACTTTGAATTGAACTAAATAGTGTTGGGACATGGATAAAAGACAGAATCTATGCATCATTAGCTAGCTAATTTAAATGATAGAATGGATATAAATCATACATATATTTTAGTTAAAGTGCATTACCATGTATCCACAACACACTGCTGTTTGCTAATCTTTCTTCTCATTTTGTGGTGTAACAAGCATAAAAGTAAGATTTTTGATTCATCAATATCATTTTCATTCACAATATATAAATGAAGCAAGCAATTAAAATGCACTTTAAGAAGAACATAGATACAAATAAATCACTTACACAAATGAGTTGTAATATGTTTAAATAGGGTTCATAATTTCTACCCATTCAAAATATTCATAACCAGAAATATAATAAATTACAAACTGGAGCCATTTGCTTTTTACACTTCAGCCAAGGAATGCTAAGTATTTCCCTGAGCTGATTCTGACAGTGAAGATACTCCCTCACTCATTTTCTTCTTGCAGAATTGGAGAGGGATGCTGTAGAATTGGGTTTAGTCCCTTAAATTATCCTTTCTCTGATGTAGGGTTCTCAACCTCTAGCCCGCAGGCCAAATCGAGCTTGCCAAGCTATGGCATCTGGCCTGTGGGAAACCCCACAGGCCAGATGCAACAAATACCTGTTATTTGCATTACAGTAGTGATTGGAGGTTTCTAACTAAGATGTATCCTTCTAAACAATTTCAGAGCCTGTGCCTGTGCCATAGAGTTGATATTTTAAGTGAGCTTGAAGAAACAAAAGAAAAAAAATCCCTCAGTTAAACTTAATAGGATCCAAGTGAGCTGCTTCTTTTTTGTCTAACACTTGCCCAATTCTATTCTCTTGTTTTCCAGTGTCAAATTTCCTCTTCCACAAGTCTGCAAGTTGCTGGCATCTTTGCTTTTTTCCTCTCACTTGGTTTTCATATCAAGACCATGTTGCTTCTTCTTTCATCACGTTTCTAAGATATAACCTGTAGGAAACTATGATCCAAAGCCTTTTCTCATGTCTTCAATAATCATGACTTTCTCCTTTGTTATCCCTGGTACTTGTGTAATTTCTTTCCTCTGTTATTCTTGATACAAATAGAATATCCCTTCAAATCCAAGGGAGTAGAAGCATCTGCCAGAATCACTTTACTGGCCAATGGATTCAATTAAATGACTCCCCCATTTGAATCCCTTCCATGCCTGAAAAGGAATTTCAACTCAGTTTTTCCTTATCCCAGGCAAGTCCCTTAACCTTGAGGGGTAGAATTGGTGCCTCTTGTTCTCCTTTCTTCCACACTTCCTATTTATCTTAGCTGACTAACCTTGTGTTCCATCACTGATCCGAGGCTAGTTGCTGCTGTGACTGTCTGGATGCCTGTCTCCAAAATGTGAATTTAATTTGTTTTTATCATTTGTATCTAACCATGCTTTTGGATTAGAGTATCCATTGCGTAGCAGACAGACGAGCTGTGACGGAGCAAAAAGAGTCTTCAGCGTTAAAGATCTTTTCTTAATGGGACCATCTCAGAAACCAGTAGGTTTGATGCCCTTTTTACATAAAAACCAGTCTAAAGGGAAGCAGCTGGAATCTCTTGTTTAAGCCCATGGTAGTTTCCCAGTTGAGGATCATAGGGCTAGAAGGGACTTCCCATGGTTATCTAGTCCATCCTCTGCTCAAGGTAGAATCATCCCAAACTAAACCATTGCAACCAAGTGTCTGTCCAGTATG